AAGACAAATTATGACGCTCGATTTAATTTCGTTCAAGCAAATGGTCTCTGTTTTAATTTTTTAGGTTCAAAACATTCGTCGAAAGTTTGTCGCTCACATAAAAAATGTCACATTTGTAAACACAAGCATCACTCATTACTTCATCCTAACCCCAAACCAACCTCAGATCCGTGCAGTTCGGATTCTCAGAAATATGTATTGGCATCAGAAGTCAATGCAATGGTATCTAACGTAAAGGCATCATTAGATAGTTCTGAGTTAGCTTCCAATTTTACATCACATTTTTCGAAGGAAACAGCACCGAATCAGATTCTGCAATGCGATTCGGCAAGAAATGGCTATACCCACTTGTTCAGAGCTCTCTTAGACCAGAGCTCCCAAGCGTCTTTCGTGACAGAATCGACGGTACAATTGCTTGGTTTAAGGAAGATAAAAAATAAGAGTATCATATCAGGTCTTGGCGGTGATAATACGAGTGTTATGGCCTAGAAGTACATCGTTATGATGGATATTCAATCACGTCATGATCCAAGTTTCCAAGTAAGTGTACGTGCGCATGTTCTCGGTGCAATTACGAGTCTCCTTCCGTCAGAGAAGGTATTAAATTTTGATTGGCCAGAATTAAATAATATAACTTTGGATGATCCACAGTTCCTAGCAAAATTGATATTTTGCTTGGAGCTGATGTTTATGGTGAATTAATAAGAGAAGGATTGATAAAAGGCCCCAGAGGTATACCAACCGCTCAGAACACAGCTTTAGGATGGATACTATCGGGTCCGACCCATCAAGGTAAGAGCATTCAATCTCAATCAGCACATTGTCATCATAATGTTATTGTAAGTTCTCACTTTCACAATGATGACAATGAGTTGCTCAAAAAATTTTAGGAAATTGAAAATTATTTTTTCGATAAAAAAATCCTCACCAAAGAAGAACAACTCTGTGAGGATTTCTATGAACAGACGACCAGACGAGATGCATCCGGTCGGTATATTGTTCGTTTGCCGTTTCGTGAGGACGATCCAAAGTGTAAGTATGGCAATTCAAGAGAAATTGCCATAAAGAGATTTCAACTTCTAGAAAAGCGCTTGAAGAAAGATGCCGAACTCAAGGACAAGTACTCAGAGGTAATTCATGAATACTTGGACCTGGGTCATATGTTGCGTATGTCGGACGATGACAAAAGGAAACACGTCTCTGTGTATCTTCCACATCATGTCGTTATACGTGAAGATAAAAGCACAACTAAGGTCAGAGTCGTGTTTGACGCTTCATGCAAGGGTAACAACGGCATTCCCTCAACGACACTTTGATGATTGGTCCTAAGCTTCAACAAGATTTACGGCACATTATACTGAAGTGACGTATGCACCCTATATGCTTGAGTGCGGATATAGTCAAAATGTATCGCCAGAAAATAGTCGCAGAAGAAGATGTAGACTTTCAGAGGCTTGTGTGGAGAGACAGCCCGGAATCTGAAATGGAAGAATATTGATTGGAAAGAGTTACTTTCGGCACAGCATCGGCGCCATACCTGGCTGTGAAGACGTTGCAGCGCCTTGCGATCGATGAAGGCAGTGCATATCCTCTTGTGGCTGAAAAGGTTAAAAAGGATTATTATGTAGATAATCTCTTGACAGGATGTCAAACTGTTGAAGAAGGAAAGCAAATCTACAAGGAAATGAAAGAACTATTAAGCAAAGGTGGGTTTCCGCTACAGAAATGGATAACGAATAATACGGAATTAGCAGAAATAGTTATGGAAGAACATGGAAATGAAGAAGGAAAGATTAACATAAAGATAGATGAGATAGTGAAAGTGCTAAGATTTACCTGGGATAAACAAACCGATTCGTTTCATTACTCGGTGCAACTTACCTTGCAAGAAAATCCCATCACAAAGAGAAAAGTTATTTCAGACATTTCACGTCTTTTCGACCCTTTAGGATGGGTGGCTCCTTGTATCATTACAGCCAAGGTACAGAAGTTGTGGTTGTCTGGGATTGATTGGGATGAAGAGTTGCTAGATGATCTTCTTGAAGAGTGGCTTACTTATCGGTCAGAATTAGCTTACATCCGAAAGGTATGCATTCCTCGATGGGTCGAAACAAAAATTGATGATACTTGCACGGAATTACATGGTTTTAGCGATGCGTCCAATGTTGCATACGCTGCAGTGATTTACGTACGGACTATTGACACAGTTGGTAATATTCATGTGTATCTAGTTGCTGTTAAAACCAAGGTAGCTCCAACTATGCAGGTGTCTATTCCTCGCCTCGAGCTAATGGGAGCCGTTTTATTGGCCAGGTTAGTTACTGACGTGGCAAACATGTTGCATATTAGTCGGGATAAAATACACGGTTGGACTGATTCCACGGTGGTGTTAGCATGGCTTAGTAGTCACCCCAGCCGCTGGACAACTTTCATTGGCAATAGAACGTCCGACATTTTATCAAGGCTTGATAAACACCCAGTGGTCTCATGTATCATCGGGCGAAAATCCTGCCGACATTGCATCTAGAGGATGTACACCTCTAGAACTTGCACAAAATTGTATGTGGCTGCACGGTCCACCTTGGCTCAGCGAGGCAGAAATTAAATATAAACCATCCAAACGACCCTCCACCAATCTTGAACGCAAAAAAATTAAGGTTCATCTGTCTACGAAATCAACGACTGATGATTTTATCTAGAATCGATTTTCTTCACTTTCACGTCTTGTTCGCGTTGTAGCTTATTGCAGAAGATTTCTTAAACTTAAAAAACCTAAATCAGATCGCAACATTGCTCCTTTTCTAGAAAGCTCTGAGTTAAACGAAGCCCTACACGTCTGTATCAGAATGTGTCAAGTGCAGGAATTAAAGGATAGTAGACTAAAATCACTAAATACATATCACGATGACAGAGGACTCTTAAGAGCCGGCGGAAGAATCTCAAATACCGACATTCCTGAATTAGCTAAATATCCTATCATTCTTCCACATAAAAGTCATTTTACAGGTCTTGTCATTGACGACGCCCACAAAGACAATGCATGGCGGTCCATCTCTTGTCATAAAGTATTTGCGCTCACGTTACTGGATTATTTCGGCTAAGAGTCGTGTAAAATTGCATGTGCGTAAATGTGTTAATAATTTATATACCTCCAGATTAAAAATTAATAATTTTTAATCTGGAGGTAGCCGTGGTTAACTATGACATTGGGACGTCATACACCTCAGTCCCCCCCGTGACCATGGGTGCTGTAAAGTGCTTTAAACGTCGGGAATGTAAAATAAGTTAATATACGCGATAAAATCCGTAAAATTAGTTTTATTTAAATCAGCAGTTGCTCTCGAGATTTGAGAATGGTTAAATGAAAATGGTGTCTCATGGCATTTCACTCCACCTCACGCTCCACATTTTGGAGGACTGTGGGAAGCAGGAGTGAAATCCACAAAATATCATCTCAAACGAGTGATCGGGGATTCCACTCTAACTTTTGAGGAAATTATCACAGTGCTGGCACAGATTGAAGCGTGTCTTAATTCTAGACCATTATCGATCTTAACAGACGATCATAATGACCCTTCACCCCTTACACCAGGTCACTTCCTCGTAGATGAGCCGTTGATAATAGTACCCGAACGTACCTATGAGCAATGCAATATGAATACTTTAAGACGTTGGCAAATGACACAAAAGATCTTACAAGACTTCTGGCGTAGATGGTCCAATGAATATTTAGTGCATTGTTTGCAAAGATACAAATGGACTAAAATTACTCCGGAGCCAAACATCGGTGATATCGTTCTTGTAAAGGAAGATAATCTGCCTCCGGCTCGATGGTTATTATTATTAGGTAGGATAGTAACAAAACATCCAGGTTTGGACGGAATTACTCGAGTGGTGACATTAAAATGTAACGGTTCTGAAATTAAAAGACCCATTATAAAACTTTGTATATTACCTGTAACTATATGATTACATGTATTTGTTTTTACACTATTTTATGCTATTATACTATTATTGCTTGACTTGCTTTTAAGGAATTTTTCATGTTTAATTTTATTTTTGTCATGAATTCTTGTGTAAGGACCCCTTGACCTCATGGTGGGCGGTGCTGTGAAGAACGATCACTATCGTTCTTGGTGGGCGGCATGTTAACTTTGTGAACTAGATGGCGCTAGTGACAACTTATGACGCGCCTACATGTTTCATACTTGATTGAATATGGTTTCTGTATTGTTTTTAATATACGCTTCTGCTAACACGTACTTGTAGTTTAATTAAATTATCAACCCTAGTGAAGTGATTACTGAGGTCGGTTTGGAACTTGTATACGAGGTGAGGCATTCCATCTTAGTACTCAAGGGGTGACACGCACCTGTATTTTGATTTGTTATCGAAGATAGATGTAGATGTCTATGGGCCACAGCAACCACTTACCATCAGGTGGACTTTGTGCTCGTTTGTCACCCTAATCACATAAATAAAAATAAAAAGACCTATCCGTTGAGAGACACTATTGAGGTCATTGAGCATAGTGCTTAGGTCCTCCAGCGATTCTGCCATAGACCGCAACGAATCGGTTAATACCGTATACTTTCCAGTCCAGTAGCTTGTTATATCCCCGAAACTTGACCACAGCATGAAGGCGTTTTCGTCACCCTGTGGTTCACCTCTGCAGTTGGATAGCCATCGTAGCCCTACTGTACAAACACTTCAGCACTTCGATATACCGATTCCAACTTGCTTCCCGCAATACACATTCAGGGTCATCCATGTTTTTACTATTATTATATATAATATTAATAACTTTGATCACTGCGGTTAATAAATATCAGAAATAATTATTGATTGCTGAAGTGTGGTTTTTAAATAATTTTGAGGTGTCCCCACACCTCAAAATTATTTAAAAACCAGATATAATACTTCTGAGAAAGTAATAGAAGCTCATTTAGGTATGGTGATTGGTATTTAATATTTATTCATAGAATTAAAAAATATTTATTCCGATTACAGATCTTTTATTTTATATGTTGTATACTTAAACAAAACGGCAAAGCTAAAATTACAATACTGGCATGGGAATATTTTATAGAAAGGCACTTACATCACAGTAATTAAATCTTATTTCTGACGAAATTTATTCATTTTCCATTTTCTGGCCCAAAGTGGCCAAAAGATTCTGAACCTCTTTATAGTGCTTTTTAGCCCCTTTAAATGTTTTACGACTAGTCATATCACCCAGTTTACTTTCAGTAAAGTTATACAAATTCTTTGTGAAACATTAAAAGAAGAAAAATGTATTAAAATGGATATTGTTACATATAATATAGTGTTTCTTCAGAAATTGTCACATACATTTTTGACCTATCCGTTGTTTGTAAAAAAATATAAACTGGTAGTACAACAATGACTACACTCTTTTGAGATCCATGTTATTATGACTTCATACTTTTCGTTAAATTAAGTACTAGCGAACAAATAGCAAATACACACTAGGAACATGTAAATAATACAGTGTCTTAAACCTTAAGCCCATACTAGTTTCACAAAAATCGGTGACGAAAACGTCATCATATAATCATTTATATAAAATTCATACTACATAAAGTGAGTAATTCAGGAACAGTTTGGCGAAATTTTGGCTTACAAAAATATACCTATTTATCTACCTATTTTATTTCTAATGGCAAAAAATGGAACTTTATACATAATATTATTTTACAAATACAATTAAATTAATATTTGAGCTACACTTTATGTTTTAGTTTTGTGTTAAACTTTGGTGGACTCAACACTTGTTTCGTAAACAGATATCTCTTTTCTTTTAAATGTTTTGAAGGTAAATCTGAAATAATTGAACTAGATATGGATTTCATGTCAGTGGAATTAATTTTTTGATGTTTTTGGGATATCAAATCATCCACAATTTTATTCGTAACATCAAACTTATTTTTTGATACACGATTATCAGGCAGGTTTAACATATTCTCCGAATGATTGCATAGATTTTCTTCATCTGAATGTAAGTTTATCCTAGGTTCAAATCGTTCTCTAAGAAGAGAAAATTTTCTTCTTGGTTTATTTCGTACACTTCTTTTAATATTCGAAATTTTGCTTGTGGATGTATTCATAAACGAAGTAGATGCATCCTTCTGTATGAGAGATTGAAGTGAAGGCGTTTTTCGACTTAAAGTTAAATCTTCACTTGAGCTAGGTGGGACAGAACTTTCTGAAACCATTTGCCATAAGAAGTCAATATTTTTATTTGGTAAATCTTGTTGCTCAGGTTTACTATTAATATTCCTAGTATGAGATTTAGATTTAGTTAAATTAGACTTTTGCCGACGGGCTGAACTTTTATTGTACAGTTGCGAACTTAGCGACGACGACGACGGCAACAGATTAAGTTCTTTTTTATTTGTATCAAATTTAGATCCATTGAAGATGTCTAAAATATTTTCTTTTTCAGGTAACGCCTCCATTGTATTGCTAGAGTTAAATTTTGAAGGCTCTTTCCAAAGTGCTTTCTTCAAATTATTTTCAATTTTGGAAGAAGAATGAAACTGTGGCAAATCTAAAAGTTTTTCCCTTCTGTGATACAGGTTCCTTGGGGAACTAGACACAGTTGATTTGCGGATTTCATCTATGGTGGCTACAAGAGAACTTTCAGAATTAAGTCTTTTATTACAAGCTGGATCTATGTCACCTAAATCATCGAGTTCCTCTAGGATGGGTTCTAGGTGATTTGGGTCCTTACCATTTTCTATTATACATGGTTTTGCTAAGAAAGTTTCGTCGTTAGATTGGCAAACGGCAGAATTAGCATAATCTTCTTGTGAACTCCTATCAAACTTAACAAACACGTTAGAATATGTATGTGTTTTTTTAGGAAATGGTGGTGCAGATAGTATTGCGTTTTTTAATTCTTGGGAGATACAACTACTAATTTCTGAACTTCCAGATGTAAGGGTATCTCGGCTCCGGTCTCTTACAACACTGCCGTCATGAAGCCAATTCTCAATATCACAATATCCGTTCCAAGATCGAAGTCCCCAAGCTTCTCTAGCAATATTTACAGCACATATGTTTTCATAATCATGCACTGACAAAACTTCAGTAGGAGTATCTAAATCGCGTGGTTTAGCAGCAGTGAGTATATCGGCACTAACACCGTTCTTTTTCTTATCTTTTTTTGCATACATTTCCTTGAGTATATCAAGAGCTATTCTTTGAATATTCTCTATGTCTGCATCTTGATTTCCTACTTTGATGTTTTTCAACGCGCTTAAACACAACTTTTGTACAATATTTTCATTAAAAGTATTAATGTCAGAACTGTTTATATCACTAAAACTTAAGTCCAAGTCCATATCAATAGAGTCTGAGGATGTTTTTTTGTTAGATCCATCGGTATCATGACTAATAACGGAACTATGATCAGTTTTTATTGCTTTCGCAAATTCTTCATTAACAATATTACACGCTTCTAAATTTAAATTACTCAACTCATTTCTAAGTTCATCTGAGGAACAGATTCCCCTACGTTTTTGCAAATTTAAAGTAAAGAAAATAGACGTAATCTCGTCGATGGAATTTTCTATATATTCAGAAGGTACTGTTAAAGAATGATCAGTAGGAGGTCCTATTTTCTTTTTATTCGCTTTTGAATTAATTATCTCACTGTTAGAATTATCGCGCTTTGTAGCAGAATGTAGCGTGTTTTCTACTGCATAAAGATGTATACTACATGCATCAGCACTATTTCCAACAGGTGCAGATGTAAATGTCGGTGTTCCAGATCTGGCAATCCAGTGGTCTAGCAAAAATTTTTTATCAGCTTGCTCACTCTCAACTTGGGTCACTTGTTCTGATACAGGAGAATCTTTTCTAGAAAATAATATTAGAACATTAATAAACTACACTTAAGAAATAGATACATACATTTTATAATAATTACCCAAGAGCTTCAGTAGTTTTTTCTTTATTCTGACTTTTAAAAGACCTAACATGATTCAAGGAATTGGTCTTATTAGTATTAATACCAGAAGAGTTGGAAACAACTTTGTTGTTTAATTCAATATCTGCTTCAGCATATTTCCAAGTAATTGGTCCTTTGGAATGAAAGTATCTGTAGTATAACACCATTGCAATCATACCTGGAAAGGAAAGTTTATGTTTATTAAAAATAAAATTATCATAGCCTACAAAAGTGATTGTTGAATATTTTTTATACATGGTAGGAACCATCTTGCAGCTATACTGTGGTTGCAGCCACTTACCATCAGATGAGCTGAATTTGCTTGCTTATCACCCTTTTTCTATAAAAAAATGTTTAATTACACAGGTTTAAGGACATAGGCGTCAATGGCACAAAACATGGTACTGAGCCATCTACATCCATCGACTTCCTGCATATCTTACCAGGTTGCCACTCCATCTAGTTGAGGCAGTCTAACGAGAACCTTTCTTTCCCAATGGTTGTCTTAATGATCTATTGGGCTATGTTGGTTACTATTTTTGTACTGTGTATATTTTGATTTTGAACTTTGTCACGCAGAGAAACTCCGAACATAACCCTCTCCATAGCCCGCAGGACGGCCATAGGCTTCCTGATCCGACCAGCGGTGACCTTGTTTCAGAACCATATGACTTTATAGACAACTAAAATTAGATCATAAGTGAAAATAATTTATAAAGGACTTACCAAAGATAGTACCAGCTATTATACAGACTGTAGCAGCAATAGACCATGGTTTTCTTTGTTTTTCGGCATCTACTATTAAAACGTACAGGAATAAACTACCGAAGTTTTGCGTGACCATTAATGTATAAAACATCATAAGACGATATCGTGTCTGACCTTCACGTAAATTTATGAAAGAAAAGCAGTAAACAAATCCCATAACAGCATTATAAAGCGTTTCTTCTAGCTTGTTAGGACAAAAAGTAGTTTTTTGGATTACAATCCAAAATGTCATAGCGGCCCAGTGCAAACCTGAAAATAATAATATTTTAAAAAGCTTAAGTTTTATTTACAAAAATAAGTCAAACAATATTACAAGGCTAATATTATGTTTTGTGTTTATTTTAAGCTGAATTAACTTTTAACAATTTCTTTAAATATTCCAAATTGAATACACGCATACGCGCGCTCCCCTGTGTGCAATTCAATTCACGTTATTGCCGATCGATCGACCCTTACGAATGTATGCGTGCGTAAGAAAATGGTAGGCGTTAGATATTTATGAATGACAATCAGTTAAAATAATGCATTACCACATATTCTGAATTTAAAAGATAATAAATACAGAATGGTTGAGTTTTTTTTTAATTAATTTTTCTTCACATTACTTCTTCTTTACCTTAACTGTAAATTTAGCCGTATATTGCAAAATAGCACTGTACAATGGGACTAAAATGGCTTTGCACCAGTCTCCCAGTAATCGCTTAAGTTGCCAGCACAAATTAAAGAAAGTGCATTTCTCAGCATTTCTATTTTGGATTTCATCGCACGAGCGTCAACATAGAGAACAAATATTGTGGAGACATTACTATAACCATGTGGGGCTGTAACCTGCACAGCATAATCAGAAATGGACGAATAGGCACTATTTAGTGGCATTATTTATATTTTATGATACTACAATTAAATTAATAAAAAATCACGATTTCGTTTAACCTAAAACAAACAAAATAAACAATACTTACCCAATGGCAATAATGTCCATATACCAAAAACTATAGAAAAAAGTAATATACCAGCAATTCTACCAGCCAACATGCCAAAGTGCCATATTATTTTCAGGAACAAAGAATTCCACTGGAATGTTTCGTTTGATATGGTTATAATACTGTAAATATATGTTACGCTGCCCCATACGACGGATGCTATTGATGCTGATAATGCAAACACTGAAATTGAAATATTTTTTCTTTAGTAATGGACAGCTAGGAGTACGCTTAAATTGCCTGATATTCTCGTTAACCACTTTTAAATAAAGTGAAAATAGATGTACTAGGAGAAGTCCACTACACTGATTTCACAAAATAGGCATATCCGCATCTTTTCTGAAATTGAATTTATTTATTTAGATAGATACACCATCGACAATATCAATATGTATGCACAAACGATATACAAGTTTTTTTAGACAAAGCATATGTCTTTACAGGTGTATACATCATTATAAGAAAAAAACTAAACAACATACATATAAACCCTAAACAAACAAAAATCAAACTAAATGAATAAAAGCACCACATCCAGTAAAAAAATTACAGTAAATAATAGTTTAGAATCATTAATCGGGCAAGGTAGGTAATAGTAAGTCTTTACATTTTCTTTTGAATACACGTTCGGCTAAAGATATCGATGTCATGATTGCTTAAGCTGTTGTAAGTTCGCATACATCTATTTAACAGAGAAAGCTTACCAAGGTTGATTCTACTAAAGGGAATATTTCATAAACTAGTAATTGGGTGTCTAGGGATATGATAGGGTAAAATCCCCTATCATAGCCACACTTGCTGAAATAAACTTGGTAAAATTAACTTACCATGTAGAATTTTATGTAGTGCATTAGGTCTAAAAGTTTTCGGCGGTCTGCCAGTGAACTCACACCAATAATAGAAAACCTAGATTTATAATCAGTATAGTATGGATAGTTTTGAAATTGAAATGCAATAAATCGAGTGAAGCTTTTTTGAATATGTTCGATTCTGTCAATGTGTATTTTATAAGAAGGATTCCATTTCACTGTGGAATATTCTAAACTGCTACGAATCAATGCATTGTAGATAGTTATCAGAGTCTGAGTTTTTTGAAATCATTACATGCACGTTTGACAAAACCTAACATTTTCCATGAACGTGTTACCACGTTATATATATATATTTTCTATAAAGCTAAGTTTGTTATCAAGAACTACTCCAAGATCACGGGTGGATGAAGATTCACTCAATATATCTTTATTAATGGAGTAACAAGAAGCAATAGTAGATTTATTCTTTGTGAATTTAATGTAGGTACACTTACGAGGATTAAGTTTCATTTTGTTACTTTTGCAGCATTCATGGATAGAATCAAGATCATTTAGCAAAGATAAAACATCATCCTGATTTTTAATAGCCTTGAACAATTTTTAATCGTCGGCGAAAATGGAACAGTGGCTGTACTTAATGTTATATGTTATGCAATTAATAAACACTATAAAAAAAGAATAGGACCAATATGTGAACCTTGGGCTACAACTGACAGACCCAATCATTAGACCTAAATCCATGCAATACAACATTTTGTAATCTATTCTTGAGATATGAACTTAGTCAAAAAAGTAAATTTCCATGTACACCGTATGAATTTAATTTAGAATAGAATATTTTTTATTCAATATACATTACATGTGTAATTCTTATTGAAAGTCATTTTTTACTTTACCACTGGTTCGAAAAAACCCTCTGTCCTGGGAAGAACCAGCAAGAAACCCAGCGGGACTTTTATTTTTAAATAAATTTTACAATATAAATGATTACGAACTATTTACAAAATTTATTTTAGAAACTGCTTGGAAGCGATCACCTCATTCCCAGGGGTTATTATCAACCATGTATTCATTTATACTATAATAACCCTTTTTATACAGTTTCAGCTTAATAAAACATTTAAACTTGGTAATAGAGAGAACCTGTACACTTTCCGGGACCTTGTTGTAATAGCGTATACATTGCCCCAAGAATGAATTACTGACTCTGTGGAGTCGAGAAACTGGTATCACTAGCTTGTGTTTGTTCCTAGTGTTTACAGAATGTATATCACTTCTTTTACTAAAACTATCTTTGTTTTTGTGAACATACATTAAATTTTCGTAAATATACTGAGAGGCCAAAGTTAATATATTAATTTCTTTAAATTTATCTCTAAGGGACTCTCTCGGTTTTAGATTGTAAATAGCTCTAATGGCCCTATAGCAAAATCCCATAAGACATTATGCTATGAAAATAACTAAAATAAACTAATCTAGCTGTCTCGACACTAGTGAAACCTCTAATCTTTTTTAGGCTATAGGCTGCAGAACTTAGTCTGCTTGCTAATTTGGATATATGGGGGCCCCACTGTAGCTTTGCGTCAAGAGTGATGCCAAGAAAAACAGATATAAGTAATTAATGGTCCACAATATCAAATGCACTAAAAAAAACTGTGTATATGGAATCCACCTGCATTTGACCATCCATTGCACTTGCAACTTTCGTGACGTAATCCATCAAATTCCTAACAGTAGATTTATCTTTGAAAAACCCGTGCTATGCCTCTACACTAATATTTTTAAATGATTTGTTAAAATTGGATAAACTAAACGTTCAAATATCTTTGGAACTAAACTTATAATCGAAACCGGTCTATAGTTTTTAACACTATCTTTATCTCCTTTCTTGTAAATGGGTATAACATTGGAACGTTTACAGTTAATTGGGAAAAAACCAGTTAATAAAGATTTACTAAAAATTAGATTAAGAGGAAGAATTAGATATTTTGATGTCATTTTTTTTTAATCTTTATTGATTATATAGGGTTTGATCTACTAGATCATGTCACCCTCATAGATACACAATCAAATACATATAATCAGACAATCATAAATTCACGTAAACAATAATAAAAAATTATCTGTTCTTAATACCTAACATATTAACAATACTAGTTTATAAAGTTTTCTAGCCTTATCCAACAATGGAAAAGCTAAAATACTATTGTACAATCCAACACTATTTTTGTCAAAACCTAATAGTTTTCTATATGCTTCGTTCCGTTCACATTCCATCATAATATGAATAGTATCTTCCAGAACTCCACATTTGACACAATTTGGTGAATTCACTTTTCTCATCATAAATGCAAATTTGTTTAATGGAATATGTCCAGAACGAAGCCTCATTGCTGTAATAATTTCTTGCCTTCCCATATTGCATCCTTCAAACCAAAGAAGCGGAAAAGATGCGGTTGTATCGTCTTGTACCAAATACCTTTTGACAGTGACCTTTCATCAAAGTAACATAAAAAGAGGTGAATGCCGTCAGGGCCCGCTCGTTTGTAAATATCTAGGGACTTGATTATACTTAGGATTTTACGTTCTGTTATTTCTATATCATGTAGAGAACTTTGTGGATATACATCGGACAAGAGAGAACGGTGAGCTGAAAGTAGGAAAATTTGGAATAGGGCAACGGAAACGAAGGGGCTAGCAGCTGGCCGACTTGATGGAGAAAGAGGGACTCTTTATGATGAACTCTTTCTTCCAGAAACGGCCCCACAGGAAGTGGACCTGGTCAGCCCCGACGGTTCCACAAAAAATGAGATTGACTTCATTATGACGACCAGACGACAACTGTTCAGTGATGTCTTCGTGATCGCGAGGGTGAAAACTGGTAGCGATCACCGAATGGTTGGAGGCACACTGAACCTAAACGTTAAGTTGGAGAGGTCTCGTCTAATGAAGTCAACGCTCCATCCCCCTCGTGCTCTGTTCCAAAGTCCCGAAACCTTTCAGCTCGAGTTACAAAACCGTTTTCAGTGCCTAGAAGACTGCAATGAAGTGGATGATATGAATGACAAGCTCATGGAAACTGTCACTGAACTCACAAAAACCGGTACTGGAAGTCCTTCAGAAACTCTTTAATTCCGTCCTCCATGGTGGCACTACACAGGAGACGTGGAGCAGAAGTGCCGTGGTCTTGTTTTTTAAGAAAGGCAACAACACTCTTGAAGAACTACAAACCGATTTCCTTTCTGAGCCGCCTTTACGTACTGTTTTCATGAGTCATTACGAATCATCTCACACGCTGACTCGACAACTTTCAACCTCCCGAACAAGGTGGTTTCCAAAAAAGCCTGTCAGTATATCGAAGTGCTGAAGTGTTTGTACAGTAGGGCTACGATGGATATCCGAGTACAGAACCAGAGTACGAAACATATCCAACTGCAGAGAGGTGTAAGACAGGGTGACGTTATATCCCCGAAACTCTTCACCGCTGCATTGGAAGACGTTTTCAAGCTACTGGACAGTATTAACATCAATGGCTAATACATCACTCAACTTTGATTTGCCAACGATATAGTCCTTATGACCTTATGAAGGTAAAAAATTACAGTAAAACAATATTAAGTATATCATAATTTTCATCAATATAAATTTTGAGAACATACATACCTTTTGTGTGATAGTTTTCATTTAACATCAATATAGCATATGTTTGCAGAATTATTTGTGGTATTGTTCCAATAAAAATATACAAATAATGCAATAAGCTCAAGTCATTTCTCTGACTTATTAACTTTTGTGTTTTTACAGATTCTAAGTTCTTACATGTAAATACTTTTCTCAAAAATATTATATACCTGAAATAAATAAATACATAAAATAAGGTGCGATGGCATTGAAATCTGTTCCTTCTTAAGAGGATTCATAGACTAATTTATATTAGTCTAGTCTAGCTAGGCTATGCTGAATAATAGTATATAATCTATACTACCATCTAGATATTTTTGAGCTATTTTTGTTGATTATTGTTGAGCTATAAATGAAATAAGTCCATATCCTAGGATATGGACTTATTTCATTTATAGCTCAACATTATCAAAGGTACAATAAATCTGGTACAAAAATCAATCTACTTTCATTACAATAATCACCAAGATTCCTGTATTAGTAATTAGTTTTAGGTAATCAACAGATAGATTTGGCAAAATTTTAGGAGGAGGTTCTCATTGAACAGTTTTTTTTTTTGTATGTTTATCAGAACTTTTTTCTAAGAGAACTGATTTTATTTAATTCTTTATTTTACCGCTTGTAAGTTTACAATTAAACTCATCAATTTTCATTTTTTATTCATTAAATCATTGGTGAATTTTACTAAACTGACACAAAAAGAAGAAGAAAAAGAATAGCGAATCCTCCATATTAGAATAGGGCATTAGGAAGAGGGCAATGTACAGTTAACTCAGTCGTTATTCATAATATTTCTGAACTAATGTAATTTAAACTTATTATGATAGTTTCTGTGACTATCATTCCTGCATTACATGAAAATGGCAAGACTGATTTAAGAGAAAAAATCTTTTTGTATAACTTATAATCTCACTTATAAAAATAGTCTAGTTTCATTTCAATTGGTTAAGTGTATCCAAGCTTAGAGATTGACATCTCCATAGTAAGTCATCCCATATAAAGTGGGGATTACCATAAAAACAATGTCAATTTAAGAAATGTGTGAAGTTGCTTTCTCTCTTTACTAAATGACTATAAAAAGTGACATCATATATAGAGATAATTAATATTTATTTGATATTAAACAATTATAAGAAAAGGTGTTATTACCTAACAAAAGCACAAAATAGCAGGCAAAATAAAATTTTTTAATTTTACCTTTCTAATAATCCAACAAGACACCCATGAGTTATCCAATGTTTAAAAGTAGATTTATTATCTAAGATAAACCACCGCATTGAAAAAATGTTTATTAAAATGTTAGGAGACAACATAAAAATAAAGGTAGCTAAAGCCCAATACAAATAACCATCTTTACAGTATTCAGCAAAAACTAAAACATCTGAAAACAAAAAACCAAATATGAATAAACTTTTATTGCACACCACAAAACAAAAACAGCATTAAAGAACAATAAAAGAGCAAGATAATATTATGAAGATACTAGCTGTTCACTGCAACTTCACCCACATGTATTTATTACAATTGGATTTCATAGGTTGTAATTCTTTTGTGCGGCACCCTAATTATTTTTCTAAAATAAAAGTAGCTTAAGTTACTCCTTATAATATCAGCTATCTGCCAGTGAAAGCCCCGTCAAAATCGGTTCAGCCGTTTCTGAGATTAGGCGGAACAAACAGACAGACAGAAAGACAAAAAATTTAAAATTGTGTTTTTGTTATAAATACCGAATATACTTTCATATGCATTTAGTTAAAAGCTGTTATTTTGACATTACAAACAGACACTTCAATTTTATTTATTTGTATAGATGTATAGATGAAGGTACAATTTGGAAGCCTTATCGTTGCACAGTCATGCCCCCTTTTCACTATGGGATATAATATAATATATATTACATCTCAAGATATAAATTAATATCGCTCACCATACATTTCATATGGAACTGTTTACACTGAGCTATAATATATATTACATCTTAAGCTATAAATATTTTTTCGATCGACCAAGCAATATTTTCATATTATAAATTGCCCCCTGTACCCCGCACATTGTTCAACGCCCCCACAGAATGGTGTATGGGGTAAAGGGGGGTAATCCGATGACCAATGACGAACTCACAGTGGTTAAAAGATATATCTCACAGTGTGGAAGCCAATCGCAGGATATAATTTATATTTCAGGATATAATATATATTATATACCATAGTGAAAAGCCAGCCTCATGAATAAATCATTTAATTTCTTATTCTATTAAAGTACTAAAAACTTTACTATTTAGGGCTCCATTTCTGACTTTTTGCCATCATATGCCATATTATTCAGATCAGCAACAGAATTGTTATTGTATGTTATGTATTGTGTCAGCAATCATATGCCAATATTTTAAAAATTATAAATTTAAAATTATAATAAATACTGTAAGCACAATGCTTACTGTGGGAGCTGCAGTGGTCTGTTTACAATCTAATAAGGACCAATGTGTAATAGCCTACCTTTTGGGGGAAATAAGAATGGATGTAAGTAATGTTGAAATTTAAAAAATTTGCTAGCTAAACAGTAGCAAATTACTTACGAATTCAATTGATTTTTTATAAAAAAATATATTATTAAAACAAAATCTTTAAACATAAATTCATTATCACTCATCTATAAAAAAATATCTTATAACTGCTTATTAAAAATAATAATGAAAGATAAATAATGCAACCTGTTGTTAAATCGGCAAGTATTGTTACAAGTGATATGAAAACACATAAAACATTGAACACACAAAAGTATTCATCGTCGTTAGTTTCAGTCTTCCTATTTATTGGATTCCCGAGCCTGCAAGCCTCGGCCATTCTATCAATTAATGCACATATTTAAAACAAAGCACTACATTCATAAAACAGTCATTTTTCTATTTAGTTTGCACTTTGCACCATTTCCAGCATTATTTGTAAAACGGCCATTTCCAATATTTTGTTATTTTGCTTTTTTTTAACTGCCTTTACGGCTCTGGGTTCTAGCCCTTCTGAGCCTATATTATTTAGCATTTGGACTTGGTCACATACAAACTAAAACTATAACCACAGATAACTGTATATTTCTGATTATTCAAATCATAGACTTACTTCCTCTTTCATCTACGATTCAAAGTACTATGTGACTGTATAGTCTATACCGTGTATACTAGTAAGATATGAAGTGTAGAGTAGAAGGAGAACCATCTTATAAGGTGCGAATGTTGAAAAAGTGTCCCAATATATACTGAAAATAGAGGTTCCAAAACCTACCACAATAGCGCTGGCGTCTGAAAAACTACGATATGAATATAGCTGTTGTAGACGGAGTGAAGTCAGCTGAATTAAAATATTTAAAAAATTTCATGACTAGAGTAGTTAGTAAAATGCCAGTATACAAAACCTCAACTATTTACGTAGTACAAAACCAAGCGGATTGGTCGGTCCTTGTTTATTTCTCCATCTTATTCTAATTAATTTTGGCGCTTTTTTTTAAATTTAGCCTATGCTACTGCAGCGCCACCCTTATTGGACGCGTTTTTAGGGACACTTTTCATATACAGAGATGGTCCTCCTTCTACTCTACAGTCTACACTCCATATAGTTAGAGCAGTGCCTCCAGATCCCAAAAGTAAAATTACAGTGTTGCCAGTTAAAAATTACAGTAGTTTCTAAAAACAATACAACAGATTTCATAATCGATGACAGTAAAAGTATGTTTAAATATTAATAGAAAAATAAGCTGCTTTATGACTATGCTTATCAATACAAATTGCTAGAAGTTATTAAATAAATAAAAACATACGTTTAGATACAAAAAAATAATATTATTTATTTTCTTATTCCATAACAATTTGCTCATGATTTTCATAAATCTTTGCTGTCATCCTTGAAATCATTTCCTTAGTAGAATTGAAATTCACGCAATTTTCGGAAGTCCGCCGAATAGCTTGCTGAGCTAGCATGTTGCCTTTGATAGTATTTGTGACTAAACAGTTTCTCTGCTTTTTTTTTATATTATTTATTTCGCTGAACTATCGTTCCCACTCAGCGTTCGAGTGCGGCAACAATAAAACTTGGAGCACAAAACGAGGCAGAAAATGGTATTTATTATCACCGTCGCTATCTTTGATTTGAGACAGCTGAAAGAAAAATCTGTGAAATGATATTATATGTGCAATATTATGTAAAGTTCTTAAATGGTAAAATATTACCTGATGCCAAAACACGTCTGCTGGTTGATTTGTATTCAGATGTAGTTCATTCGCAGTCAAAATTAAGTTTCTCAATTCGTCATTTAACGACTGTTGATCATTTAAAATTTGGGGTTTAAACCTTGGCAGTTCTAGAAACAGTGACGACAAAGACTGTAGTCTATTATCAGATAAGCAAGAATCGGGATCCAACTTTGCGATTGAGCTCAAAACTGTTTCATCATTGTAACTTCTTCGGTACTTGCATGTAGCTCTGGGAGAGAAACTACATTAGCAACACCCAATCGCAGGTATATGTCTTTCAGATTTATGTAATGTTGACTATCAGTAGGATCAATTGCGTCGAGTGGAGTGTTCTTTAAATGATTCGGAGTTATGTATAAGGATAAAAGTTCTCTGTATAGCTCTGTCATTTCGCTATGGGCAGAGAACTTCGTCTGACAATACACATTACTTTTCGTTTGAAAATATACATTGACGCGGATAAATTTTGGCAGCATCCTATATTCATTTATATTTATATATATGATATTCATTTTCACACATATTTTCACCTTTAAAACACTTTTAAATTTCTTCTATCTATCATTATTGCACTATATTTAGTTCAAATCTAAATAATTTTAACACAGAATTAACTTTTTTGTTTACACGGTCAGCATGAAGCACTTATGACTCAATTTTACTGAAATTTTACAAATAATTAAAAATTCCTTTTTTGCCTCCTATTTTGTGAACTAAGCGAGCGGTTTATAGTTCGCACTAAATAAGCAACCAATTTCTACACGACTCTAATCACATCGGTAGGAGGCCAGTCATTCCGCTTGTGCCGCCACTCTCGAGCGGACGTGTTCAAGTTGACTGGGCTTACGTCCCCGTACATTAGTGCCCTCTCGCTCTCACGCCTCTGCTCTTCCTGCTCACGCTGTGCAGCGCAGTCGCTTTGGTGAGCTTTTTTCGCCTTCAATTTCCAATCTTGCCCCCCTGCCTCCTGCTCGATCCCCTCAGGACCGTCTCCTTGCTCTTGCTCAGCACCACAATATTTTGTGCTCATTGTAAGTTAAGTTAATATAAATTAACTTAACTTTACAATGACAGAGCACTCTGCTCTCCCAAAATCTCACGGTCGTATTAAGCCTAAGGGTTTATCGCTGGTATCCTTTAACATTCGCGATTTGCGAAATAACCTTCCAGAGCTTAAGCTCTTTCTTTAAGATCACGAAGCCAACCTCCTCCTCCTCCAGGAAACGGATCTTAAAACTAAGGCCTTTCCATTCAAAAGTTTTCTCTTCTTCGTAACGACAGACCTGACCGCAAAGGCGGCGGTACTGCCATTTACTACAAGAATAAACGTCATTGCTCTCACATTCCTATACCGCAGCTTACCAACATGGAAGCCACGGTATGCATGCTAGCCATGACTGGACATCAGTCCATCGTCATAGCCTCCTGCTACATCCCTAGTGGAACCCTCCCCCTCAAAAAAGATTTTGAGGCTCTTATCTTTAGGTAACTCAGTCATTATATTTGAAGATTTTAACTCAAAGCATACTGAATGGACCTGCCTTTCTACTTCGCAGAGTGGCAAGAAACTGCTTGATATCATGCTGTCTCTTGACCTCACCGTCCACAGCCCTCTCGTGTCACTCACTATCCCGACAACACCGACCACTCTCCCGACGTGCTAGACTATGCGCTAGTTAAAGGAGTTTCCCTCAACCTCAGAGCAATCGAGACTCTAGACGATCTAGGATCCGACCACCGACCGGTTTCCCTCATTCTTGGCCATCAGCCACCACCCTCAACCACCTCCATGAAAACCTTCACTAACTGGAAGGGCTTCAAGGAGTCCCTAGCTAAACCTATGGACACACAGGACTCTCCCATCTCCCTCTCATCGGACTTCGACAATCCCGAAAAAATCGACACCGCGGTCGATTCTCTCTCCACCCTCATAAAATCCTCCCTTAAGGAGAATGAAAGGGTCGTCCCGGTTGCTAATAATGATGGTCTTCCCCTACATATTAGCAACCTATTGAAATCCAAGAGAGCTGATTTCCGAAGAGCAGCAATCTATCCCACCCCCGAATATGGGCGTACGGCCAATCGTCTTCAACGAGAAGCCCGTTTCCACCTCTCCGAACTTCGATACCTCGAAAAGAGTAAGCTCATGGAGAATATCTCTCCCTTTCATACAGCGTACTATCAGATGGCAAGAGACTTCCGCATAGACGCTATCACCCACACTCTCCCTCTTTCCCGTCCCGACGGTACGGTTGCTTTCAGGGACGAGGAAAAGGCTGAGTGTTTTGCAGATAGCATTGCCGCACAATGCTCTCCTAGCTCTCAACCCACCGACCCCTCCCACATCCAGATAGTGGAGGATGAGGTCCGCTGCCGGAACTCACCCCCCACAGCCTCTCTCACTGTGTCCAATGATGAGATCTCATCCCTCATCAAAGGACTGAAGTCCAAAAAGGCTCTGTGTGCGGATGGCATCTCCAACCAAGCCCTTAAACATATTCCTGAGCAGGTGTTAAACCTTTTAGCTATTATCTTCAACGCCTGCTTCAATCTTGGTTACTTTCCCACTACGAGGAAATATGCAACTGTCATTGGTATTCCCAAGCCAGGAAAGCTTCTCAACCTCCCCCCCAGTCATCGTCCCATCAGCCTCTTCAAGGCCATGGGCAAACTCTTCGAAAGAGTCATCCTCACTCGCATGAGGCTCCATCTGTTTCCCATAGACTGTGACCCTCTTGTCATACCCCACCAATTTGGTTTCCGAGCGAAACATTCTTGTCCCCAACAAGTTCATCGTATTGTGGAATATATCCTCAGCGGTTTCTATCCTCGTCGCCATAAGACCATCGCGGTCTTTTTCGACATTGCAAAAACTTTTGATAGAGTCTGGCACGAAGGCCTTATCTACAAATAATATAAAATAGGTCTCCCCGATCGTCTTGTACGTCTCGTGGCCTCTTACCTGAAGGATCGTACCTATTGTTTTAGACACAAAGGCATGCTCTCCTCTCAGCGCCCCATCAAAGCTGATGTTCCTCAGGCCTCAGCTTGCTCCTCTCCTGGCACACGACTGCCAAATATTTAGGTGTCACCCTTGACACGAGGCTCACCTTCGGGCCCCCATTTCAAAAGAGTAACCCACAACGCACATTTTTTTCTGAGTAGGCTCAACAGTATGCTGGGCCGATACAGTAAAATGTCCCTCCGAAACAAGCGAACCCTTTATAAGGTCTGTATACGACCAGTCATGACTTACGCGGTCCCTATATTTGCTCACGTTGACCCCAAAATCATTAACGACCTCCAAATAGTTCAAAACCTTCTCTGTCGTCGAGCTACGGACGCACCCTGGTACGTCCGGAAAGCCGACCTCCATCGAGAGTTAGAGCTCCCTACAATTCAACAATTTCTAAGAACACTCTGTGAGAACTTCTTCAAAGCCTCAGAGTCTCACTCCAATCACTTCATTCGTGAGGCAGCTACTTATGCAGCCCCACTCCGCGCCTTTTGAAATTTGAAATGGCTTGAATTTCGGGACACCTTCGACTCGCTCATCAATGCGAATGACACTATACCTGACATCAGCAAGTTCCACTACCTCAGGTCTTCTCTAGAGGGTGATGCCGCTGTCACAATAAAATCAATTGAGTTTACCAGTGAAAATTATCAGGTTTCCTGGGAACTACTGTATAACAGATAT